ATTCTAGCTCCTTTCTTTATTACATTAACGCGAGGTTGAGTCACAATGACAGCACTTCCTGCCCTCCCACAGACAGGGTTGAGTGCCGTCAATGCAGATGGTCTGTATGAAGTTATTTTCCGTTTTTAGGTTATGTATGTGTTCAAGAGCTCTCACTTTGGTAGTGTGTTGGAGATAAGGATTATGTGTAGTCAGTCGTTTAGGCGAATACGTGGGTGTTGTGATGTCCGCCAGGGTGGGAGGAAGCGCTGTTGTGTTTCAGCTTTGTACAGATGGTCTAGTCTAAACACCCTCATATGTGTACAGTAGCTGTAGTTTGGATCCATTTAGATTCACCAGTTTCATGATTCATATATTCCAGCAGTTTCTTATTTGAATCACCATGCAAGAGCCTCAGGGCTATCATGAGGTTGACTTCAATAATTCTATCTTTGACACTGAGTATACCTAGTTCTCTCCTCATATCAAGTGCTTTAGTGCTCATTATGTAGTTACCTTCAGATGAGCGGAGGGGGGCTGCGCCACGAGTCATTGGCTCATAAAATGTTTTAATGGAATTTAAAAATTCACGCATCTTGTGCTGATCTGCATGTTTTTGTATTTCACTTGCTTTATTTTTAAGCCAGTCATTCTTTAGATTGCGATGTTCCTGCTGGGCACCCACTTTCTACTTGCGGAAGGTATCAGCTTTGGTCCGAGACTGAGGGTTGTTTTGCCAGTCAATAAAAGCAGCACGTTATTCATTGATGAGTACTTTGATTGCCGGGTCTTTTTATCAAACCAGTCCTGGTGTATTCTCCTGATCTGGCCGAGGGTCTCTCTGCAGGTTTTTGTCATAACAGTGTTGAGAGTGTCCCATTCGGCACTGGGATTCGCGTTGTTTGCTGTTGGAGTACTTATAAGCCCATGTTCGAGCTGCTCTTTGAAAACATGTGCTACCGCTGGATTCTCCAGACGCTTAGTATTAAAATCTCTTCGGGAGGTTTGTTGCCTTTGCCGTTTTGGGGCAACGTAAAGTGAGAGCTTGGCTCTGACAAGTCGATGATCAGTGTCACTAGTCTGAGCTACGCATGGCACGGGTGATGAGAACATCTCGGCGATCTCTTTCTCTGAAAATGATGTTGGTGATAGTGAGGTTGTGCGCAGCACACTTGCTGAGGAGGAGTAGGCCGTTGGGATTACACTTCCCAAGTCCATTTCTCCCTACGGTTCCCTGCCAACTGGCATTGAAGTCGCCAAGGAGCACAGCCTTTTCTTCTCTGGGGATAGAGGTTAGCACTGTCGAGTTCGGCGTAAAAGGCCTCCGTGATGTCATCCTCTGCATCCAGTGTTGAGGTGTATGTACTGATGAAAAAGTCATGATGTGAGTGATTCAGTGGGACTCGAAGCGTCATGAGGCGCTCGTTGATCCCAATAGTCATTTCAGTTAGCCTGTGTAGGATGCGTTGGCAGATGGCAAAGCCAACTCCATAAATGCTGTTTCTTTCCGCAGCAGGCTTACCCTTCCAGAAGAAGGAATAACCCGACCCCCTGTCTGTGAGTTGGCCCTCATCTGGGAGCCAGGACTCACTAATGGCTGCTATGTCGATGTTATACCTAACCAGCTCTTTTCCCACAATGGCAGATCTTCTTTCAGTTTGCTCATTTGTGCCAGTATCCAGTAGGGTCCTGACATTCCATGCAAGGACCATAAGAGGTTGTATGGTTTGTGTTTGTTTGAATCTGTGATTTTGATTGTGTTTTCGACCACATAATTATGACCTTACTGGGTGCGGTTGCCCAGTCAGCTTGGGCTTTTAGACAGGCTATGTTTAGGGCACCCTTTCTAGCCCCCTCCCCATGTGGGGTGAGCAGAGTGGCTCCTCGTAAGGGCAGCTCAGTCGCACAGACAGGACCGGATTGCACTGCTGCCTAGATCCCGGTGAATAAACAACCATCTTATCTATGCCGCCCAGGTGCAGAGTTGTGACTAAAGACTCGCGGCAGTCATCTCTGCCTGTCCCCGTCGCCACTCATCCGTCGCCATAATACTTTTGGTGGTATAGGGGTTTTGATGATGAAAGGTATGATGAGCTAGATGATGGCTGTTGGTGAGTTGATTCATGTGGTGAGGCAGGAGCGCAGGCTGCAACCACACATCTTGTCTCTTTCTTTTCCTGATCCATTGGTGCAAATGTTGCAACGACTGTGGAGAGGGAGAGTTACAATGTACTGCCGATAGCCCAGTTTGCTGGGTTTCGCCTTAGTAGCCTGTCCACCATGCATTGCGTTCGTCCACCGGTGTAGTTGTTAGGTTTCCTTGGTGGTCATCTCTTCCACCTATACCTCCGTTGGGGTCTTGTTGGAGCTCTGTAAGCATGTCTGCCTGATGCGGGGCTCCACCACAAATTTTTCGTTAGGGGTTTATTCCCGTAGCCTTATACCTGCCAAGGTTAATCCGCAAGGCAGCGGGGCAATGGCTGGAAGGCGCCAGAACGTGTCCACATGCCAGTGGGCCTATGCACTGTCTCTCTGGGGTCCACTGCTACTCCGAAATCCCATGCTGGTCTAGCCTGGGCCCAGAAGGCACCCAGTTACCGTGTGTTGCCACGAGGAGGCACAGTCGGAGTCTTGATGGTGAGGAGGCTGTGTACTGGCAGGGGAAGACTTATGCAAGTTGCTTCCCTGTTCGCCACGAGGGCTAGCCAGCAGCGGGAGCTGAAAGCGAGAGGGAGCAAGTAGTGCTTGCACTTTAACACTAACATAGTGCTGCCACACTAGACGCATTTCACCGTACTGTGTGCGACACACATACACACAGGAGCATGTACTGATCGCTATAAGAGCCAATCTTACCTTTTTGCACTTTTACTATGTTTAAATGCCCTGTTGCATATCCTTCTCCCCACCTTGGTATTATATATCATATTTGTATCACTTACATTACCTGTATATTATTTGTCAATCAAGAGGCCCATTCCCCAATTATGTAACTGTATATTTTCAGCTTTCTGGTTTCCATGTTCTTTCAATAAACAGCTACTAGTAATAATAATAATAATAATAATAATAATTATTATTACCATTATAAATAATAATAATAATAATAATAATAATAATAATAATAATCATTATTATTATTATTATCATTATAAAGTGACGGGCATATAATGGGTTAGTCCTCGGGTCGTCCTCCACATTGTGTTAGTCCTCAGGTCATTCAATAAATTTTGATTAGTTGATAGAAAGATGGATGGATGGATATATAGATAGATAGATAGATAGATAGATAGATACTAGTAGAGCTCTCAACATTGGCTCCCGCAGCTAGAGAAGCCATTATAAGCACCACCGAAGGACAAAATATATGAATGCTTATTAATGTGCTTCTTTACACATTCTCACTAACTTCTTTTTTTTTGTCACGAATATTTAATTAAGTATCGTAATCACTATTTTGTAATTCAGAGAAAACAATTTTTGTACGATAAAGTTTCCTCGAACTCCTATAGTGCCCACTACATAATTTTTTTTTAAATTTAAAGGAACTAACGGAATAATTAGAAATTAAACTAATAGTTGCCTGCAAAAGATTTATTAACACAATACATAATTCCTGTTTATGGATAATTGGAAATATTAATTCACTTCATCCACAGCACAAGTAGTCGGCAGCTGGTGGCGTCCAAATCTGTTATCACAGTGTCAATATTTATGGCGGAGGTGAAGTCAGACACTGATGTGTCATTCTACTGCACAAATATGTTTTGAGACATCTCAGACCGTTGAACCTCCTTTTTACAGAGATTGTTGAAACCGCCATAGTGATGGGGACCTCTGTTGTAGAGTGGCCATCTATGGGGTCAACACAGGGAGGGATCTGGCCATTCGGGAGCCAGGAGTCGATCAATGAGCTGGCTCCTGAGATGGTCAGCATAAACATTCAGCGGCGACCACTCTTCAACTAATGGAGCTTCCCTGTTGATATGATGAGCTATGCTGATTGAGGCATGGAGTCGATGTAGCCAGGGATAGAGCTACGTTGTAGAGCTGACCAAAAGCTTGGATGGAGTTGCCCTTGGAGAACGACAACCAGGAACTTTGCATTGTGGGAGGACTTGACCAGATCATAGTCCTTCGTCTGTTGATCCCATACATGTTATGTATGTAGGGGCCCTAGCGGATTGGCTGATGCACAGATTCAGGTTACGGTTCTTGCAGTGCACGTAGATGAGGAGAAGAAGGCTAAAACCCCACTCTCGCAGCCACTCTTGGTAGAACTACCGTTGTAACCTTGGCATACTGTGTAATTGGGGGAAAGGAACCAGTATTGATTTCAGTGTCAATAAATGAAGCAAGACGTAGAGTTAGGGGAGATATGATAGAGGTGTACAAGTGGGTAAGTGGGATTAACAAGGGTAAAATGGAAGATGTTCTGAAGCTCAGTAATAACGAAATAACTAGAACAAATGGCTTTAAATTAGATAAATTCCGATTCAGAAAGGATATAGGCAAGCACTGGTTTGGTAATAGAGTTGTGGATATGTGGAATAGGCTACCGTGTGCTATAGTAGGATCGGGGACGCTAGGGAGCTTCAAGACGAAGTTGGATAGGCACATGGAAGTGCTGGGATGGGTGTGAAAGCGATCTGCCCTGTATGGGCCAGTCGGCCTCCTGCAGTATCCCACTTTCTTATGTTCTTATGAAATATAGGCACGTGCGTAGTGAATTGAATGAATTGAATTGAATTGAAACAGTTTATTTAGCCCAAAAAAAACACAGATACAGAGTGGATAATAATAACAATATTAACATGGCTGAGCCAGTTGAGAACCTGCGCTCTCTTTTAGGCACCTGATATATACTATACATTTATCTCAAGGAAGTATTATGTAACATTTAGTATCATCTGGAATAGTACAATAGCATGGTGGTAATAAGAACATCTCATAATGTTACCACGGTTATCACTTCAATATATATATACTTTTTTTTTATACATAAATTACAGTGGAATTGAAAAACATAAGTATAATGGGGGAGCAGTACAACATGGGTTGTACAGTAATAAGGTTGAACAAGAGGACAGAGCTGTCAGGATTATAACTAGTTGGCAAATATGGGCCTGTCTATGAACGCTGGTGCACTGAAGGGTGTTACATGTATCTGTTGCAAGGGTGGCAGGCGTCCTCTTAGATGGTGGCAAATGTCCTTCAGAGAGTGGTAGGTGTCACAGAGAGGGTGGCAGACGTCCTTCAGAGGGTGGTAGGCATCACAGAGAGGGGTTTGAGTAGTTTGTTCCAATCTGGGTACAGTTTTTCCTTCATACTGAGGCAGTAACGGGCCAGACTTGGGTGCACCTCTGTAAAGACACACACGCTTCCTTATTTAGTCAAGTAAAAATAATTATAAATAATATAAGTTGCTTAAATGAAAACTTATTGCAATAGTAAAATCAAACAGCAAAAATAAAATCTCAACTTTTTGCCGATGAACAAAAATATAATTCTCGTTTGTAGTTATATAAAAATGTTATCCCTTCGTAAAGTTTATTGCCTCTTAAAGGTTGACAAGAGACTATGGACAGTGTACTGATATTAAAACAGTGTGTTCTTCGCCTCTCAATTTAAATGCACTAGAAGGGTAGCAGCATATGACCCAGCGGAACATCTTTTGTGCAGGTACAGCCGTAAAGGTCCTCAAAGTCATTTGTTACCACTTTCAAAGGGTGTCCGTCAAGCCCGCCATCTTGAATTCAAAATGACAACCCACTATATTATTCATAGAGTATAACAATTGATCAGAAAATCCTCTACAATACATTCTGTGGATTTTATAAACGAAAAAAAATTTATATATAAATAAATCTGACGAGGACTCCGCAAAACTACAGGAAGATCTGCCCTGTATGGGCCAGTCGGCCTCCTGCAGTATCCCACTTTCTTATGTTCTTATGAATGGTCTGAAAATGGCAGATGAAATTCAATGTGGACAAATGTTAATTACTCAGTATAGGAGATGTAAACAGGAAAACCAGATGCCAGATGAACAACGATGTTATTGAGAAATCCGACTGCGAGAGAGATTTAGGAGTAATGATAAGTAGGAATCTTGAGCCAAGTAAACAATGTGTATTTGCTCGAAACAAAGCTAATAAAGTACTTGGGTTCATACAAAGGAGTGTTAGTTACAAGACTAGCGAGGTCATCTTAAAACCATATCTTGCGCTTGTGAGACCTCACTTGGATTTACTCAGTTCAATTCTGGTCACCGTATTACAGAATAGATATAGAATCCTTGGAAAGAATTCAGAGGAGAATGACAAGACTAATCCCGGGCATTAGGAACCTTGAGTGTAGAGACAGGTTAAAGCATCTTAATTTGCACTTCTTCGAGAGACGTAGAGTGAGGGGCGACATGATCGAGGTGTATAAATGGAAGTTAGGGCTAAAGAAAGGGAACATTACAAAGGTTACATCACATCATTAACTCAAATACGCTGGATAGCTTCAAACTTAGGTTGGATGGCTATATGAGCAATAAGGGCTGGGTGTAAATGGGAATGACCAGTATGGGCTAATAGGCCCGCTGCAGTTTCCTCCATTATTATGTTCTTATATATATATATATATATATATATATATATATATATATATATATATATATATATATATATGAAAAAGCAACAAAAGTTAAGGGTAGTTGAGTTATAGTATCACAAATTATAATACAATGACCATCCGTTTTAATTTCAAAATGGCAGCTGCAACGGACATGGTTTGAAACTAACTAGTGATTTTAAAGTCCTGTTGAGCTGCATTTTCAAATTTAACATTAAAACCCTTGTTACACAGTGTCCCGCTGGGTCACATGCAGCAACCTAATTACACAGGTAAAGATCTGCGCAGTAAATGGATCACCTGATGATTAGATGATACCCAGCTTATTTCACCTGATGATTATACACCTTAATCCTAACCTAATTATTATGGGGTGAAATAAACTGGGATTTCTAATCTTCAGGTGATCCCACTAACTCCAGTACCTGGTAGAGGCGCCAGCTGTTGTGTTCTGTAACCTATTGTTTACTGATCGTTGTATTGTAACCACTACTGACGTATAGTGTAGGGTATAACTGTACTGTCTACTGGGTCATTAAATAACCTTCATGTACTGATAGTTATTTCACCTGATCTAATGGTATGCATGTGAGTGTCCCTGAGTGTTAGTGTGAATGTGTGTGAGTATGAGTGTGCTTGTGTGAATGTTACTCACTGGTCACTAGAGCCTCGTAGCGGGATCCTGGGGCGTTCCACATAAGCTGTGCGAGCTGACCAAACACCGCACAGTCCACCGTACATGGCTCCTCCCCACCAAAGAACTTGTCCTCACCTAGTGACAGAAAAGAAGATTCTTTTTCATGTATCTTTATGAAATTATCTTTATATTCCACAAAGTAAAGAGGGAAGGGTTTGTCATGGCTGGTGTAGCGGGAGTGAGGACGTACCCAGTACTCCGGCCAGGGTGCTACAGTTCTTCTTGCAGATGTGGTAGATCTCCTCAGGGGTGTGGCGACCTATACCTTGTTCTCTGGACCGACGCCTTATCCCGGATTTCATGAACAGCGGGAACACAAACCGTAAGAAGGGGCTGAATGACTGTGACTTAAGGAACGTGACACACCCGTCCACCCAGTAGCGCCACGTCAAAACACACCTGCAACACAGTCAAAATTTAATAACCAAAATTTTTTATTTTCAAAGTTTCGTATCCCCGAACCCATTTAAACACACCTTGGCTGATTGTTTTCCAAGTACCAATATTTTTCCACATTTCTCTAATATATTTGTGTAGGTTTTTCCTGAAGCTTCGTACACTCTGTCAGCTTTATATATATATATATATATATATATATTTCGTTCACTGTTTTTCCTTGTATTGCTCCCCTCCTCCCTCGTCATTTTAACTATTTCCTTTTAGTAGTATCCTGCATCACCTATTTTTATCCCTACTCCCCCTTCTCCCCGACTGTCTTTACTAATTCATTCTACCAGTACTCCTTACCATCACTACTATCGCCTCTCTCGCTTAACGCAAACCCCTACTGTTGCCAACCACCAACTCACCACTACCCCTAACACCACTACTACCCTTAAGACTGATGCTCCCACCCTCCATTACCACTCCCAGCGTCACCACCATTACCACCCCAACCAAATTATCTTTACCTCTCCACAACTACTATCCCTCTGTCGACCCACCACCACCAATACACCTTCTCCACCACAACCACCCCTCCTTTTCCATCACAACCACCCCTCCTTTTCCACCACAACCACCCCTCCATTACCACCACTACTCCTTCTCCACCACCTCTCCTCCACCACCACTACCCCACCACCACTACCCCTCCTCCACTACCCCTCCTCCACCACCACTACCCCTCCTCCACTACCCCTCCTCCACAACCACTACCCCTCCTCCACAACCACCACCCCTCCTCCACAACCACCATCACTACCCCTCCTCCACAACCACCACCCCTCTTCCACCACCACCACCGACCCCTCCACTACCACTATACCCACCACCACCACTCCTCCTCAAACACCCACCAGAATAGATGTTCGTCGACCAAAACTCTCACAGCTTGCAGGGTGGCGGCTTTGTGAGGGTCCAAGCGTGCGTCTATCTGGACTTGGTAGCGCTGGGTGATGTGCTCCACGATGAACTCTGAGTCAGCCACGTCCTCCCCGTTGATGGTGATCCACGGGCATTTACCCTTTGGTCCAAATGGGGTCTTGGTGTCCACCTGGGGGAGATAATGCCAAGGGGAAAATCCTAATGACACATACACGTCTTCTTCCAGATAGAGATACATGACACACGCACACACACACACACACACACACTGGAGGAACACAGTTATACATTACTTTTGGTATTAGAGCCACTGACTTAAATCGGACGTAATTCCTGCCATTCTTACATCCTATTTCCCGGTACGTCATAAGATTACCAGAATCAAAAGCATCACGGGTTCATTCTCTCCCTCAAATGGGAGCTTTTATTGGAGGTGTGTAGGTCTATAGGAGTCTCTCTCTCCTCTTCCATTTTCTCATTTTCCTGAACCCACAATGATTGATGTCTCATAATTATGAACTAACTGTCATATATATAGATGGTTGAAATGATCATAATCTTTGTCTGTCTCTTTCATGTAAGTTTTTCCACTAGTATTATAAGGATCACCATACTTTTATAAGTATATATAGAAAATTTGAGAAAAACATGTTTTTGGATAGAGCAATAAGAGTGCCGGTATAAACAGGGTGTTCCGTAAATACCTTTCATAATTCAGGGGGTGTATTCCTCAGACATAAATAAAGATAAATTACGAAATGACCAAGTGTCAATTCTCAATAGTTACAGCACATGACAGGTTTTTACGGAACATCCTATATATATATATATATATATATATATATATATATATATATATATATATATATATATATATATATATATATATATATATATATTATTCACTGTTGTTGATACACACATTATCACACACATACACACACACATATACACACATATTATTATTATTAATATGCATATATATATGCATATATATATATATATATAGCGTATATATATATATATGCATATATATATATATATGCATATATATATATATATATATATATATATATATATATATATATATATATATATATATATATATATATATATATATATATATATATATATATATATATATATATATATATATATATATATATATATATTGAGAGACAGTACTTACCTTGTATTTGATGTTGGCGAGCCTGAAGAACGATTCGAGCTTGAGGGCGAAGGGGCTGAGGTTGGGGCAGTATTTGCCTGAGGCGAACTGGTGGAGTAATACCACGTCCTTCCCCACACTGTCCCACTCACGCCTGACCACACAAACACACTGCCGTCATACTTTGGACCCAGAGAGCCATTTACATATTAATCTATGTATCTGTGTACCTGGCGCGCAACCGCCTGCTCTACCACTATAGGTGTAAAAGTGACCGAGCCAACAGTGGTACTGGTGTTTCACAGGGAACCCGTTAACCCCACCTTATCTCGGTGTGGTAGACACATTTATTAAACACACGCGGCCGTTCTTTTTTTTAATTGTATGAAACTTATATCTTGTCCAGGCACCGTTATGGAGAATCACTTCCCATAGCCACGCGAAGACAGATACAGTCCGATATAGTTTGTTTGTAAATCTACAAAAATTTTGGTTAGGCAAAATGTACGAGATATTATGAGAGGAATGACAAACGGTTTATAGAACAATAACAAGCACTTTGAGGAATATTAAACGTTTCTCTTAAATATTAATTTGTAATCACTCATCACACATTTGTCTCTAGTAAACAGAGACAAATTTTGGTGGTTTAGAAACGAACCTCGAAGCTTCATTGACATTGACGGAGAAACTTCGCCCAAATGCTTCATAATGTGTTTCAGAACATGAGCCGTGGTAAGTGTAACGCTACTTTTTATTTTTTTATTTTGCTTTACATTTCAATATTTGTCCATTTTCTAATAGGTGAAAATTTAGACCCGCCATCTACAAATTTTCTGAGCAAGACAAACATGGGACCAAGACACTGCTGTTGACCATAAACATTCATATTATGGATAATCTCACGACTCAAACAACCAGACCCTGGGTTCTCACATCTGTGTTTATGGATGCACTGCTGTAGACCTGTAACTTGTAAGGCCTGTGAGGAGTCGGACTTGTCAGTATACAGTTCCACTTAAAAGTAATTTGCTTGTAGTTATTTAGAGTCCCGTTGATTTCAGTGAGGTGACTGAGACTGTCGATAATTGTTGTCCATCTGGACATTCACGTCTTCCATAAAAGTGGGAAAATTATACACAAGATTGGTGTTTATGCACATTGTGATATTTACAAATCTTAATACTGTACAGTAAATTAGGCTGGCCCGTGATCTAGTACCGAAGAGTTCTCGGTGTGAGTCGTGCTAGAACTGAGGCAGGCTTTTGTGGGGTCCAGCTAAAGACTAGCTAAGGGGCTTAGCCATGCCATGACCATATAGAGTAATTCCCGCACTCGCCACCAGAACGATCTATGAGTCAAGCTTCTAGAAGGTTCTCGAAGGAGGAAGTAATCACCTCCGTGGGATGTCAAGCCGAACAACAGTCAGTGGTGTTTAATTTACGTGTGTAAATAAGCGGCTGGTAAATGATCCCTTTGACCCATGAATCACTCTTAACTGGCGGTGCCATTCTCTATATATATACTACTTAACTAACTATCTAACATACTTGACGCATTGCAAGTGTGAAGCAAAGTATCCAATTACCACATATGAGCAATCTATTTAGTGTTGAAAGAATTATCTACAACTTAGAGAGAGAGTTGCATCATACTGCGACACTCGGACAAGACAAAACATCCGCGGGGTGTTTAGTCCCACGCCAAGCGCCATAACCTATGAACAACCTCTACCCTCAACAAGTCATTGAATAATGAATGTTCATAATTATACATCCATGGTTGTTAAGTTATTAATTACTTACACTAAATTATACAGTATGTAAATTATACTGGTTACACTGCCATATTATGACCTTACATTTGTCACATCAACCAAAAATACAATTATTCACATATGACACCATTGACCTTTACATAAGATAAATTGAGTATCGAGATGGACATTTAATGTTCCTTACCTGAGTTGTGTCTTTTTCCTGTATTTGATGAACTTTCTGGTGAGGAAGATTATTCCTAGTGAGGCGAGGAGCGTCCTGCCCCGACCTAACCAGTCCCTCGGCCACACCACCCCTACCACGCCCTCCATCATCAGTACCCACTTGCTCACCCACTCTGTAGACCTCAAACACCGTCAGCTATAAAAGATAACCACCACCACTTTAGTCATATACTTATAGTAATGGAATCAAAGAGTTTTATAAACAACTCGATTATATTAAACCTACTTCAAACTAGTTCCATAAGAATAGAAACTGTCTGCTTCCCCAATCTCCTAAAACACATTAAAACGAACGAACCTAATCACATATAGCTTCGAAATCTATTTAAATATAGTCATAGACGATTGTCATTTTTCTTCTTCCTTCGTCATCTATAACAATAAAACACACTTCAAGCTAACCAAATATACATAGATATTAATGAAATTAGATAGCTTTATAATCATTTAGAAGACAAAGTACACTTAAAGATAGTACGGAGACAACAGTTCAAGCACTACTTTATCTAGAGACTGATCACCAAACAATTACTGATTACATATCGCTACATACGCTTCCCTCCCTCCCTCCCTCCCTACCCTCCCAACCCTCACCTCACCAAGTGTCAGAAGGAACCCGAGTTTATGGCATAGATGTGTGATGAAAACATGGGAGGTAGAAAAGATTAAAACACGGAGCTAGATACAAAAAAATAAATCATGAAAGTTCGGAAATCAAAACACGGACACCAGGAAAATTAAAACACGGGTGATTTAACACTGGTGACTTAAAGGAAAACGAATGAAGGTGCTTGTAATGTCGACACGATCTTCTTAAAATACAGAAATGGGTCTCGACTGGCGTCAAATTGAAAGAAAAGGAATATAGGGTTAAAGAAGAACTATAACAAGACGATATAATTAAGTATTAGAGGGGAATGATAATGATGTGCTTGTCAGTCGTCAGCAAGGTAGTGGAGTGTGACATTATCTGTCGAGTACAGTATTGTCGATAACGTGGTGTAACAATAATAGCTGTGTTATTTACCTTTCTATTCTGTTCTTCCTTATTTCTTATTTATTTACTTTTACTTACTTTTACTCTTTCTTTATTCTCACATTTTATTTTCTTATTCTTAATTCGTTCCTTCTTTGTTCGTCACTCTCTGTATGTCAACTTTATAAGCATACACATACCTACACATATATACATAGATCAGATTCATGTGGGTGATGTCACTGTTCACTGCCATGCAGGACAGAGGTTCGTACACAAAGCAATACATCATATTCATTAGCAGTATATATAGGTCAGAGTCATGTGGGTGATGTCACTGTTCGCTGCCATGCAAGACATTGGTTCATATACATTGGACGTCGTGTTCTAATTGAAGACTAATCAGTGTGGGCTAGCACATTTGGGATAAACAGCAAGAATGTCCCCAAGCACCCCCGATTCAATATAGTGATTACAAAATTCATGGTACAATAAGCCAGGTGGCCTGAAGTCTTTGACAGTGCCACATTCAATAATAAAGTGTTCAAGTGTATGCTTTAAAGGTTCATCACAAACTTTACATGCTGAGTGTTCCGGTATGGGTACAGCGTTACTAACTTGCCAGATGTGTTTGTATCCTAGCATAATTCTGGTTCTGTCCTTATGCTGGCCATACCGGTACCTCTCGTCACAAAATTTGTCATATTTACTAATGCTACAACTGTCAGGTCTCTCTGCATTTCTCAGTTTTTCTAGATCAGAGTTCATGATTCTGACTTAATGTTTTTAATTACAGCATTGGACAGGCCAAGGTCACGGTCAACATTTTCTTTCTTACATGCCTCATTGGCCAGTCTATCATCACGGTCATGATACCTGATTCCAACATGGGACGGAATCCATACAAATTCGATACGACAGTTGCTCTCATTGGCAGTTATCACATTTCTTTTAATATCACATACAACTTTAGACATAGAACCTGACGGGCTGTTCATTGATTTCAAAGCACTTTAAGAGTCACAGAATATTACCCCACATCCATTTTCTTTAAGGTAGTCTGTGGCTAAGTAGATTCCAGTTAGGGAGACAGAGAGGGAGACTTGTTTATGATTTGTGATAGGTTGAGGGGTGTTAAGGAATGTAAGACCTCACACCAGAGGGTAATCTGATATCAGGGGAGAGAGAGAGGGAGAGAGAATAACTGGGGAATAATGGTGTAACCGGTGATAACTGGGAACGGATACCAGGTGGTAGGTTAGGTTTTTTTTAGTGGCTCACTGTATTACTGTATTCACCAAAGACAATTAGAAAGGGCAATACTCTACTCCATACTCAAGGGAACTGAGACCAATCATAACGGTTCTTCGTTTATTAACGACATTACTCAAAGTGAACAGTTACGCTTCAAAACAATAATTTATCTTCCTATCTAGTTAACCAGGGTTCACATGAAACACAATAAATTTCTTGAAACGGATAGAACCTGATGGGTACTCGCATATAATCCCGCCATGTGTGAAGACGACCCACACGACCACACTTAATTCTCCCCCAAACCAGACGTATTTTTCAAACTGCGTTGCCCACAAAGGGCGCCACCTTTTCATGACGTCATGTCTCACAGGTTCTCGTATTGGTTTAGGCCTAAGGCATTCACCCTCGCAGGTCCCTGCGATTGGCTCACTCTTGGCGGGAAACACTCCTGACATTGTTACAGTGGAATCTATAAATATCTAATCTTTAGTCGAGTTACTAAGGGAACCACGAGATACCAGACTCGGAAAGTGATAATCTTGCCTACTGTTCTTGTATTGTTCGACTCGTATCTCATTCATCTGATGATAATTATGAATATGATCATGGTTATCAGTCTTCATCTCTTCGTCCTCTCATCAGATGCAAATTTAATTTCTTCGATTTTTATATTTTTGTGAAAGTGTGTTAGCGCATGTCCTTTATATTTCCTCATCAGAGTATCGGTCATTGGCACAATCGAAAATTGCAAAATAAAATTCCCTGATAACCGGCCTTGTTACTATGCATTTTATTAGGATGCGTTCCGTAAATCAGTTACTTATGATATATGTTGTTAAACAGAGGATGAAACAGGTGGCGTCAGGTCAAGTAAACTGGTGTTACTACTTCTGTAGATCAAGTGTCCCGGTACACAGAACTCGACCCTATGGTCCAACTTTACTTCAATCCTAAATTGTTATTATAATGTTATTACTGCGCATAACAAGGGTGGTAATTACACTATTCTGACGACATTTAGAAAATTGTGACATAAAATTCTATTACTCACTGTGTAATGGGGTTTCTGCACCAGTTACAGGTATATTTATGAGTCTAAAAAAATAATGTGAAAACTTGTACAAATAAACTAAACAAGGCTACTATACTTTTATTATCAATTAATAAAATACACTGTATACTTTACAACGCCATTAATTATGTAAAAACTCACCCAACTCAAAACAAGAAAGCACGAGCGAACGCAACTGCTGCACTAGGCGTAGTGACCGTAGATAGTGAGTGACGAGTGATCTTCAGTGAGGTGAGCTGTGAGGCCGACCCTGCCCACCGATGGCAGCCCAAACATAACAGCAGATAATCGCCAGGATTTCCCACATATATTAAATTAATATATATTACATAATTAAGTTTTCTACATACTTTGAGTTATTAGATAAAATTATAAAAACATAAAAAAAGGAATACATTATAACAGGTACAGGCATATACAGGTATTTACTGTCCAACTAACTTGTAATGGCACATTTTCCAGCCAGATGATAAATACAGTGGTGCCACATATAAAAATATAATCAGACAGTGTTTGCCACTGGCACTTACAATATCCTCAACAGTTTTACTTGAGCTTCCTTCCCTCGGCATGGCCACCTCTCAGGGACGAATCCAGGAATATCAAAGGGGGGGTCCAAGAACTTGTTGGTGGGGGACCATGGCGAGAACACCGGCCTGTAAGCCCCCCCCCCCCTCCCGATTATTATTTCTTAAATCTCTTACCCATATTATGGACATTTTAGGCCATTTCGAAGCCATGTGCACTGGATATTAGGAGATATTCTGAAGTTTAGAGTAATTACTTTTTACTATACAAAAATGCCTGAGTACAATACTGCATTAAAGAAAAAGCATTAGATTTCCTGATGAAAAGGGGGGTCCGGACCCCCAGAACCCCCTCTGGATACGCCCCTGCCTCTACTGGGTGGCTATTAGGTAAATTAGTTGGCCAATGGGAATCCATTAGTTCCTCTGCATTTTATCAAAGAAAACAAAATTAGTAACGAGGGATACAATAGTCAGATGTTATGTTTCTCACTTATTTAACATTTCACCACTTATCACATTACTAGTAGTTCAGGCGTTTGGTTCATTACTGTCGAGTGTTAGTACAGGAGGAAACCGGTGCACCCGCACGGAACCTGCCACGTTTGGTAGGGTCATACATGTCTCTGGCCAAGATTCGAATTCAGGAAAGTGATGAGAACTACGCTCACTACAGCTGTACCGAGTGTTGTTTTTTTCCATAAATTAATGTTTTAATATTATGCATAAAATGAAGCAATAGTTTTTAAAAGGGGTGGCTATTGAACCGGGTCGGACAGTAAAATAGCTCAAGGGTTATTGAGCCGGGTCGGACAATAAAATAGCTCAAGGGGTATTAAACCGGGTCACCTGGTTCGTACACAAACACAGGTGAGGTTAATTTGAATTAGGTATATCATCCATAAAGAACAATAAACGACACTGCTGTTTACAACTGTAGGCTATTTTACCAGCCCTTGAACTGTTTTACCGTCCGACCCGGCTCAATAGCCACTACCTAGTTTAAAAATAAGTAATAACAATATTATCTGTTCCTCATATATCAGTACTAAAGATATTAATGGTTGTTACGTTAGTCAACATCCCTCCTACAGTCGTAATTTGAGTTAATCACACTGAGAAATTATTTGCAGTACCGTATTTTGAGACAAACGTAACATTACGGTATTCCTCAGGTCCCAGACAAGGTTTTGTAGAGTGTGGTAACAAACTCATACATGTTCAGTAGTGTTTAAAGGAGAGGCTTAATAGAAACGTCATCCCAAAGCAGCAAACACTGATAACACCTGATATCAACTAGATTTAATCTGAATATATAAGTGTTTACGGGTTATGAAGATATGCTTGGAGACTGCTTGCAATCGCGGGTGGGGAATTACAATGATGACGGCCCTCACTGCCCGCCAGTATCGTGGCAAACAGTTAACAAAATTCACAACTTCTTACCTTCTCAATGTGTGTTTACATCCCTACAACGCCATCTGTGGGTGCTACCGGACTCTATAGGAGAGAGCGTTTGAATATTGTGGCGGGGGACATTGACACAGTACAATACTCATTGCTAATATTGGAACTTAATTTGTTTTGTGAATTTTTACACGAAATCATTAAAATTCTTAAGTGTGTATTATAAATCAACTGTTATTACAGACTAGAAAACTAAGCGTTCGTGTACAGTGCGAACTATTTCGCTTATTTACTGTATGGAATCCGGGAAAAAATCATTCTTTAGGGAATAGAATAATTGCGTTCGAGTGTTCCTTGACGCTCCGAACTTACATTTTGTGATTCATGACAGAAACCTTGACTACGATATTCAGAGTAAATCAGCCTATTTATTTACTAAAAAATCTTTATTCACAAAAAAATGGGTTCAGAAAATATAATTGAAAATAAATTTGTCACCCCCTAAATATATGTTCTTCATTTTCTGTGAGGAGAAACTAAGCCAATGTTAAGGGCAACTCGGCAAAATTATCTAAAAGAAAGTAATAAATTATCCTCTTACTTTACTTTCATCCTCTTTGCCGCTCATCGGCTCGCTGGCTGCTTGGGTGGTTAGCCACGTCTTTATTACGTACTGTTGGCAAGTACTGGACATGTACTTGTACTGGCTCCTGAATGTATCAGTACCTGCGTCAGTGTTGGTCAAGTATGGTCTTGAATGAGCTCACACTCGGTGTCGTCACAACACACACTGGCACATTGCTCCAAGAGTTTACACTTCTCACTTCTAAAAAGTTTGGCCTGGCCAATTTTCCGAAATTGAGGCTTCTTCAACCTTGAGCTGTGATCCCTAGTAGGGCAGGTATCCGCCAACTCCAGGTATTAACACTCGACTGAGTAATGTCTTCTGCGATGGTTATAAACTTCAATTAAGTCACCTCTTCCTCGGCAACTGCAGGAGTTTTAATCTTTCCGGTTAACTGAGGTACCGTCACACAGGCACCAGTCTGGTTGCTCTCCTTTGTACACTTTCAAGTAACTGACAGCCTCTAACATATCTCTGGGAAGCACCTCACTCTTGAAGAACGTTATAAGACCCACTAACTTAATTGTTTGAGTCACCTTCTTCTCACAATGGCCCGCGAAATCCAGTTCGTTCTCAACATACTCACCCCGGTCCTTTTTACATTCGGTCTCTGTTAACGCTGTTTCTTCATCCCGTTGGAACATGTGATACGCCTCCTTACTGTTGGTACGACCTAGATGCATCCTCTTACATCTCGTGACATTGAATTTTAAGAGCCATTTTTTCGACCATCGTGAAGCTGACAGGGATCATTTCGTAGCTTTTCCCAGCACCTTAAGTAATTATGTCAACCATGTTGACTGTCCATTACAAGGTTGTTTCGTAGTAGATGTTCCATCTTGTCATCTCTTATAATGCTCTCAAGTACTTTACACACTATACTGGTCGAGTTCTCTGGCCTATAATTATTCGTGGAGTGACGATCGTCCTGCTTGACTTGCCATTTTACTAGGAGGTCGGTCTGTTGGTTAGTTCACTGTTACCCATTGTTAGCAAGTACTATACCGGTCATCAGAGGTACAAGTACGAAACCTTCCCTTACTTGCCTCCTCATTTCACGTCCACAGCAGTCCAGGACAAAACATCGAGCTATACATATTAGAATCCCTTATAATGACGAGACTTTTCAGAAACGATTTTGGCACCTCTTATTTACCGTACGTTAGGTTGCATCACGACTTTATAAAGAAATTTAGCAGCTGATTCCTGGGGTTAGTACCATTGAGGAAATCGTTAGAAAGGAGTCAGACTTAAACGAATCAATGCAAAACTTCATGGAAATCCTTAAGTTAACAGAAGAGAAGTGTATTCCCTACGAAAGCCTGTAAGAAATATACCAGCTGTGGAAGAAATACCGGAGCACAGGGCATCATGCAGATTATGTAGTATACAAAAGAACCCTAAATGTGGCCGGTCTGGAAATTAGATCAGCCAAACGGCATTCCGAGATGAAATTACCTCAAAATATTAAGAAAGATCTGAAGTCCTTTTTAAGCGTATGCCAGGCGTAAAATGAAAACCAAGGATACTGTCGGCCCTCGAAAGGACGAAAACAGTGTGGCCCTGGAGGATGACAGACAAACAGCTGATACCTTAAGTGAATACTTTGCATCAGTGTTCACACAAGAGACAGTGGGTAACATGCCAGTACATAAGAGAATGTATACCTCAGGGGTGGAAAATGAATTATATGAGAGATAGCAATTACAGACGATATCATCAAAAGGAAAGTAGCCCCTGGAGTGGACGGAGCACAGACCAAGGTGAGAATGGAGGTGACAACCGAGATTTGCACCATTCTTATTCAGGAAATCTTTGAATCAAGGTAAAGCGCTTAGGGACTGGAGATCAGCCAACGGCACCGCAGTATACAAGATGGGTAGGAAATGCTCAGCCAAAAAACTGCAGGCCGATCAGCCTACATTACATAATATACAAACTCATCGAGAAAATTCTATGGGATGCCATCATCTAACACCTGATCGAGCACAGTCTTATCAACGCATTTTAAAACGATTTCATGGAAAAAAATCCTATCTGACAAACCTACTCATGTTCTTTGAAACGGTAACAGACTACGTGGACCAAGGCTTACCAGTGGATGTGCTGCACAGTCCCTCCAAAAGTATCGTTAGCCATGGGATCGATGTGATTCGAGGTTTTCTGAACAATGCTACTTGACCTGTTTCTGAACGGTTGGTAGTTCTACATCCGCGACCTTTGAACATGAATGAGTATATACGTTTTCGAACGATGTGAATCCTCTGAGGCTTCAAATCATATATTACTTGACTCGAAGTGGATGTCATAAATGGACACCAACGCCATGCCAGTCATCAGCGGGATATTACATTGAATGGAGTGAGGAATTATCGGGGAGACATCGCATGATATGAAAGGTATATTTAACGGTGAGTTAGAACGGCGAACTGGGGTGAGTTAACCCACAGTATCACGATGGGTTAGGCGCCATGAAACAACTGGTGCCACACTGAAACTTAAAATCACATATGTCTTACTAAAGGTGGACGGCGGTTCTGTTGTCTGCAAGTTCCTTGATTTGAAACCTTATTTCGGTGTTAAACCGATGCAATTTACATATCAGTAACATGGCAGATC